TTGCTTTAGGAGGGCTCAACGAATGATTTAAATAGCTCAGTAGATACGAATTGAATTTCCGTTTTCTCAAAGTACACAGTCGTTTCATAGCAGAGTACAGATTTTTCCAAAGGGCGTAATCTGTTTGTTTGCGCGTCGGTCAAAAAGCATGAATCTCGCATAAGAAGATAAGTCAGTCTACAACACTTGTGTTTAATTTTCCTTTAGAAACTGAAACCTATCAATTACTAGCGATACAAAATTACTGATTTCCCAAGATTATGAACTACTCTGACGAAGGGCTAACGTTCGAAACGTCAGCTTTACGATGGCCAATTTACGTTATCAACTCAGTTCTCCCACAAAACCAAGTTATTTTGATTTCGTAATCCCCTGACCAACGCCTGCTGGATCACAGTTTGTCTAAAAACATACCCCCTTGATTAATGTTATTAAGAGTAACTACGCATGGCTAACCTTCTCATAGAAAAAGCTACAACTAATGCTGTCAGTTTCAGTTTTACATCTCGTGATAAGATCATAAAAAGAACAAAAAAGCTAGATAAAAAACCACTTAGACAACAATTCACTTTCACAGCGTAACAGTCACACGGTCCGTTTTCAAAAAAATCTGTGGTCAAGGTTACTTTACAAGTTTCACCGAATGTGTTCGCTCGATTTCTCCAGTTTTACCAATCCAAGCCCCTTTCCATTTATTCTTATTTTAAGTCCATATTATGAACTCTATTCTTGGGTTTCACCCACGTGACTAATTTGCTTTACATCATACGTGACTAATTTGCTTGAAAACGGTTGTTATCCGCCATGTTAGTGTCGTAGAATTGTAAGGAATATACTTGTGGTTATGGTTCATTGTAGAGTTTTCGGCTGTTCTAGTAATAGTTGCAAAGAAAAAGGCATAGGGTAATATCGTTTACCAACAGTCGTAACTAGAGAGGGGGAACTATCAGAAGAATTAAGCAGAAAACGGCGGGAACGTTGGATTTTAGCGATAAGCCGCGATGACCTGAGGTGGAAGAACGTCATTGAAAGCGAGAGAGTCTGTGGTCGTCACTTTGTTTCTGGAAAACCAGCACAAAGCTGGGATAAACACAACATCGACTGGGTGTCCACGTTAAATTTAGGTAAAAGAGAGTACAAAACAGTTGACCACAAGGCTGTAGAGGCGAGGGTTTTGCGAACAAAGGAGCGGGCGGAGAAGCGAAAACAACAACTACAGTTACAAGAACTCGAAAGGGAAATCACCGCGAAGCGAAGGCAAATAAATGAATCTGAGCTTGAAATTAATGTCTCTTACTCTATCGTAATTCACTTCATTGACAAAGGTGGGTAGAAGCCACGTGCACTTTACCTGGGTACATGCGAGTTCACCATTGATTCGCGTCCATGCTTCGATATAAAACAACACACTCGCTATGTATGAACATGTTTCCGCGAGTCTAGCCTTACATTCCATACAATAGGCACACAAAATAGTCCCCTCCTCTTCGGTAATTAGCCAAATTGGTATCAGTGGATCGTTCATTTATTGCGAGTGTCTTACCTTCACAATAACTACTACTTTTCCTGAGACATGCAGACCTTTTACCGACGTTACGATGCCAGAAACCAGTTGATTATAAGCTTATAAACTCTTGTAGGCTTTGAATTGCTGCATAGTATAATAGCTTGTTTCCAGAACTAGGTAGCTTACTAAATCTGTAGCTTCAATTGATAGAATTACCTCTGCGCTAAACTGCTCACTTGGGATAGTTTGCGGGTCAACGCCGACTACAGATATCTTCTTCAAATATCGAATTTTGACGTGTTTTTCTAAATCTTTTGCGTATTCTGATAGCACTGGAATATTCTTTGAAAGATTTGCGATGATTTCATCAGGATTCTCGCTGGATATGTCCATAATTCTGTGACGAAAGACTACTTGCACTACATAGCTATGGTATAAACTTAGCATGTATTTGTCGATGAATAAAGGCTGATAGTTTCGAAAGAAACTGTTTAGGGCTGCCTCGGTGGGAGTAACGAAATAATTTGGATATATCAAAAAAGTTGAAATGGTAAATTGGCCACCGTAACGGTTACAAAAG